GTATCATCTCAATAGAGCACGTTTTTGTGAGAAAGCAATAGAGGAGGTCAACAGAAGCACAAGAACATTTATAAGACCTTCCGTAAGCCTCTACTGGTATTGCCTGGCAAGGTATACTTTTTCCAGTTTCCAGCATGATGAGGGGAAAACATTCCTACTTTCATCCAAAATGTATTGATTTCTCTTAATCAGAAAAGCACATTGGGCAGTAAAAAATAGAGAGAAATCCTTCACTTGCAGTGCACACTGACAAGGCCAAATACCTCTAGATGCTCCTGTTTCCAAGGCAACAAAGCACTTACAAGAGGATGTGAGCACTCCCTCCCCCCTTTCAGCTTCATCAGTCAGTAACTCGGTGTGCAACTAAAATAGATATCTGTACTGTAGCTCACACATAACAGAAACATCAGCATCTTGTGCTAGAACATCCTTCCTCAAACTGCTGCCTTCCAGATGTTGATGGACTGCAACTCTCATCACTGTCTGTTGGTCATGCTGGCTGGGGCTGGTGGGAGCTGGAACACAACAACATCTGGTGGGCCAACAGCATGAAGAAGGCTGGGTTAGAGCAACAGGAGGTCCCTTGGTCGGAGGTAAAGTATGTGGGACAGTCTGTGCTCAGCCATTGAGTGGGTGATGCCTTATGGATCCTGTCTCACAGCAGGTTTGGTTCACTTTGAGAATCTCAATTGAAAAAGCTCCTTCCGTGTGTCCCATTGCCCTTAAAAATCACCAGCACCAGAAATGATCAGACAGAAATATGTCCTTAGGGATTAGCAACTGTGTTTACACAGCAATCATGCATCATTTCTGGTGCCCTAAGCAGCCTATCATAAACGATCCAGAATATGAACTCAACAACAAAATCCAAGGATGTCTGTTACATTGGCCCAGAACATTTCTTTCTGCCAACGTCTTCCCTCCTTACCTGGGTTTGAGCCTTAGAGGCTGCCACCTCACTGGAAGCGCATGTAATGAGTCCTTGAGCCCAGCCATGAGAATGTCTAATTCCCCCAGTGGTCCAAGAAACCTCCACAGCAAATCATCCTTGTAAACAAATATCTTACACAGTCATACCCTTAGACCTACTCACAATATGCTTCTGTAAGTCAGCTGGCTATGTGGCTGGGTCACACCAGCAGATAAGCTACCTGCAGCACAAGGTGAAATGGAAAAACAAATATTGTAGTAATAAAACATATTGAGTAAATCAAGCATTGGGAAGCCGTGGCTCTCCGAATATGTTTGGGCTACACAACTCACATCATCCCTGACCATTGGCAATGTTGGCTGGGCCTAATGACATCTGGAGGGCCACAGGTTCCCTTCTCTACAACTAAATAATGCTTAGCTTCGTTGCTACATCTGTTTCTCCGCAAGTCTAACTGACTATCTGCTTTGTTGAGCTAAGAGGGTTTCACAATATGTAATGGGATTCGCCTATCCCATTTCTTTTAAGCCCACAGAAATATTGCACATTGGATCGTCTAGATTCTCTCCAGTTAAAAGTTGGGAAAATATTGACATTAATATATCAGAGAAGATGTGCTGGTAAAGGCTGATCGTAAAGTGGGCATAAGGAATCTGTGGCTCTCTAGATGTTGGCCTACATGTCGATGACCATTGGGCATGCTGGTTCGGAGTGCAGGGACTGATGGAAGTGAGCACAGCAACATCTGGAGGGCTTGGGGTGTAAGAAGGCAGTGGGTTCTGTTCTGACCTGTCCTCATTACAATCAGCTCTATTTACATTCTGCTGCAGTTCGGTTTCCTCCAAATACTACATTTGCCTTGTTGTCTGCCTTTATGTTATGCAGCTAACCCACATTTCAAGCAAAGGAAAAAACCAAAAAGCAAATTACTTTCTGCAGGTTAAAAAAAACCAAGAACAATGTGAATATTGATCATATTTGCTTGACTGATTTCTGCTCCTGACCACAGATGAATATGCAAACTGTGGTGATTTCCACTTCTTTTTCCATCAGAAATTCCTAGCATCCCTTGGGAGCCCATGGGTTCCCCATACCTGCAGTTGTCCTGCACCCCTGGCCTACCTGGCAGCAAGTCAGTATGCCGAATCCAAAGTCCAAAGGTCAGGAAACACATTCCAGGGTCAATCCAAGTAGCCAAGTCTAAAGTCCAGCAGTCAGGATACAGTCCAGAGTCAAACTGGAAGCACAGTCCCATAGAGGTCCAGGAACATCCAAGCCACAGTCCACCAACATGGACAGTTGAGCAGCCACAGCCCCGCAGTTCTACTTCCCTTTTGTACTTTGCCTGCTGATTGCAGCATCTGGGCTTGATGAGACATTTGACCCCCACCTGCTCCAAGCCTCCTCCAGCTGAGGAATCACACACCTCTTCCCAGAGCTAGCAAGACCCACCTGGCCAACTAGGGAGCTGGGCTGTGGGCCCTCGCCTGCCTCAGCCTCCTGCAGTGCCCAGCCTGCTGCTCCCTACACCTCAGAGCCCTCCGTGTTCATGAAAAGAGGGGACTCTCTGACTCTGGTGATGGGTTCCTGTGCCCTGACCCCCATCTCCTCACTATGCTCCATCACCCTGTGAGTACAGGGTACCTCAGGTTAAGAACCTAATTCGTTCCGGAGGTCCGTTCTTAACCTGAAACTGTTCTTAACCTGAGGTACCACTTTAGCTAATGGGGCCTCCTGCCGCTGCTGCACGATTTCTGTTTTCATCCTGAAGCAAAGTTCTTAACCCGAGGTACTATTTCTGGGTTAGTGGAGTCTGTAACCTGAAGCATCTGTAACCCAAGGTACCACTGTACTTCTTTCCCCTGCTTGCCCCAGTGTGTCCCAGTCCTTGCTGGGATCTTCCTCCTCCCCAGGGTCCTACCAGTTCATGACAGCAGTAAATGGATATCCGATACCATTTTGATGCAGTATGGTAGGGTTTTTATATCCTTAACTTTACAGTGATAAGGGAAAAACTGCCGCTGATCCTTCTTCGGGGACAATTTGTTTTAGTGCCCCCCCCCCATAGAGAGTAGATATGTTGCTGTTTGTATGACACTATATTGCTTAATGCTGCTCTATTTTGGTAGACCAGATGCTTGCTGGTTGGCAAGGGATTAGCAGTGTTATCTTTGTGGATAATTGGAAGGTTTGAGAGTGAGGCTTGTATGTGAAGCATTGCTAAGGGTGTGTTTGGGAGAAGTTAGGGGGCAGGGCTATGGGCATAGCTGCATATGGGCATAACTTGTTTTGCTTACTTGTTAAGGAGTCTGCTACTTTCACAAGCTCCATTCATTCTGCACTTGTTAACAAATCAATCTTTTAGTGTGACAGCTCCTACACTATGGAACTCCCTGCCTATTGACATGAGGCAGGTGCCTTCACCAAACAGTATTATTTTCAGCATCTACTAATTTAAATAAATAAATAAATAAGCAAGCTTACCCAGACATGCAAGTTGCTTTAATCTGAAATTTTAAGCTTATTGTGTATACTTTAAATCTGTTGACTTTATTTATGTTTTGATTCTTAACTTGTTTTTTTTAAAAACTTTTATGGACAGTTTGAATGTATTTTTTAGCATTCTTGTAAACTGCTTAGAGGTTTAATTTACAGTTAAGTGGTATACAGATTCTGTGAAATAAAACGTACAGAAATATGTCCCCATCTGCCACCCGCTGCCACAAGCAAGTTTTGCAAGTCGCTGAGCCGCGCAGCACATCTTTGAGCACGAGTGCATTGCAGAGTACATTGCAGTGCAACATGGAGAAATGTGTTTAAAAACCCTGCTGCAGACTTACAGCATAATTTTTATTGGCCTACTTTTCGTTTCAGCGCCTTAGATTTAAAGTGGGAATATTGATGTGTTCAATCTGTGGAAAGCGAAGCGCCGTAACTGATGAGGCCTAGTTCGAAGCTGTACGCTGCCTAGTCCCAGATGGCTGGAAGTTAGCAGTGTCTCTTGTTAATAGAGATGGTGAGGAAAGCCTTTTGCACCTGAAGGAGTATGTTTCTCTCCAGTCAGTCTACAAATGTACATGCGTATATATGTGCAGCACACAAACAAAGAGAGCTCACAATATGAGAGAGACAAGACCCTTCTGGACACAGGGTACGTTTTTAGGTTGCCTTGCCTACTTTTCACCATACATTTCCATGGAAGCATTAAGAATGTGCTTAACATCCCCATCTTGCAGTTAATGGGACTTCATAGTATTGATCGTTGGCTGACTCACACTCATCAGCTTTTGCTATGGTATAAGTGCATAAAACGCTTAATTACGAGGAGGGATCTGGGCATCTTTCCTCACGCTATTACATGTCACATTTCCCCAGCATTCAAAATGTGTTTTTTTGGGTGGGAGTGGGGTGTCCCTGGGAAAATGTGATCTGTTTCATGGGGTAGCAAATGCACTGCTCTCTTTCTCCTTGATGTGTAGAATGGGATCTACTACCCATTCCTTTTTTTAAATGAAAGTGCCAGGAGTTTAATCTGGGATCTTTTGCATGCAAAATGTTTGCTCTACTGTTGTAGAAGTTGGCCTTTGCCAAGCTGGTGCCCTCCAGATGTTCCAGACTACACATTTCAGAATCTGGTAACGGGCCCTGCAGGATTTATGCCAGCCTTTGCCAAAGCTAGTGCCTTCCAGATGTTTTAGATTATGACTTCCATCAGCACCTGGATCCAGTGAGCCTGGCAGAAACGAAACACAACGGTCAGGCTCATGTAGGCTGTGAGAAAAGCTCTGGGAAAGCCTTTGTGCGGTGATGCTAAGTCCAAGGGGAGCTGGTGGCTTTCAATGCCACGTGCAGAAACATAGCACACCCCAAGAAGTACTCAGAAACTTAGATGCCCCCACTGCCTGCTAGCAGCCTGATCCTTGGCATGCCTGCATTTTTTGTACAGCTTGGGAGAGACGGAGGGGGCAGAATATGCTCTTTCCCTATTGGCTATCAAGATGGTTTTGTAAATACGTTTTTTGGCTGTAGCTGCAAAAGTGATCTTGCCACTTAAAAGCCGGCGGTAAAATATGCAGCACTCGTAGAGAGGGTGTGGAGGGCAACCCGTGATATATGGATATATATTCGCATCTTCATGCCTGTGGATCCCTGAAGAATAGAACCAGCTGTGTCAGGAAAGGAGGCTAGCAGAGAGATCAGATAGATAGATAGATAGATAGATAGATAGGCAGATAGATAGGCAGATAAAATAGGTTAGGTAGGTAGATAAGCAGATAGACATTTAGATTAGGAAGGTAAGTAGGTGGATCGATAGGCAGCTAGATAGTACTGGAGATCTGGCCATAGGAGGGTTAACACCCAACCAAAGCTCAAGGAAAGAAAAAAAGGATCAATGGGCTTGGCACAGCAAGAGCAGGAGAGGGGGAGCAGAGATCTAGAGAGAGACATCAAGGCAGGAGAGAGAGAAAAAGAAGAAAGCAGATGCAGCAAGGTGGATGCACTAAGAAGTAGCTAGAGGAAGAGGCACAGGGAAGACCTACTGAGCACCTCAACTTGCAGAGTCCCCTCCGGCAGTTTCTTTTCCCTTGGCACTGGAGAGAAGCAGGGCAAGGGCTTCTTCGTGTTGCCCAAGCATCGGTGCCGGATAGCGAAGACCCGAAGGAGGCCAGGGGGATCTCGCCTCTTTCCTAACAAGTGAGTACACAGCTTTTGAGAAGTAAAACAAAAAATAGAAATGGTATCGAAACAAGAGGAGGGTTCCCTGTCTCCCCCCCAATGTGGCTCAAAGGGAGTTTTTCAGGAGGGTGTGTGTGTGTGTGTGGAGTTCCTCCTAGAGTGGCCAAATTCAGTAGGCAAGGCTCCTGCCTGCTTTTAATCGCTGTACCGAGGGGAGAATTTCGCCAGATGCTGCTTCACTCTCTTGTATTCTTCAGAGGCAGGGAAGTAAGAGATCGGAAAGGGCTGCGTCTTTATTCCAGCTCAGAGACAGTGTGAGGCAGATGGGCTGGAACGGGAGGCGGGGGGGGGGGATGACACCTTCCACAATGGGACAGGTGAGCAGTCAGAGTCTGAGCATCTTCTCTTTGGACAAGCGATGAACAGCCGTGGATATGTTATGGCTTTACTTTAACGGTGTATTTGAATGTTGGGTGTTCTGTAGCTATATTGTAGCTTCTATTTTATAAGCTCTGCCATATGATTTTTAAATATAGTGTTTCTTCATTGTGATACTTGGCTTACAAGGGTTATTATGTACACAACCCTTTGCAATAAGGAAATGACTATTCTTTTAAAGAAAGAATGATCTTGTGGAGAGAACGAGTGCAGTCTGGAAGCAAGCGGGGGTGGGGGGCTCAAGAGAATTCTGGGAAGGAGGGGCAAAGCCAGAAACCTTGCTCACACAGCAATCTTTCTGGTATACATGCGGAAAGGCTTAAAGGCTAAAGAGGCAAATCACAGCTGAAACAAAACAGCATTCTTCCTTCTGTAGCAATGATCTATCCTTTCCCCCTACCCACTCTCAGTTTTGTAGAGCTTGCTAATGTTTTATATTTTAATTATGAGTGTAGCTGATGCATGACACAAACGCTACAGTAGAAATTAAAAGCCATGTTCAATGTTAACCTTAAACATGCAATAAAACCATGTGAGTTCCACCCAACCCCAGCTCTGAGTGATTCCCACCCCCTCCCAAATTCCGAAAATGGCATCTTACCATTGCAAAGTCTTTCTGATTCTGAATCCACTACTAAACCCTATGTGATTTTATTGGCTGCTTGGATGGACCAAACTTCACATCTCCAAGCTGTGTGTGTTCTGTTGAAGAAAGCTGCCATACTCAACCCAGCTAGGGACAAGGGCACTCATTTGTGTGCAATCCTACATTCGCAACAAATGGGGTGGTTGGACTCATTTTGTCACAAAGAGCACCTGGAATATTGCACGCCACCACAAGCCACTTACATGTGGGTTGATTGGTAGTGTTCAAATAGTTCACTTCTGCTTGCAGCAAATAAAATTATTCATTCAACATGAGCAGGGAAAAGCAATATAAAAGCAGCTGCTACAGGCAAGGCAGTTGTGTGCATCAGATCATACTGCAACCTTTGCCAAACTTGTTCCTTCCAGGTGTTTTGGACTAGAATTCCCATCAGCCCCTGCTGGCACGGGGTGCAGCTTTAGTCCCAAAACTAGTCCAGAGTAAATGATTTACTACCACAGCCTAATGATGCTAAGATTGGAAATAGATTATAACTTTTTGGTTTTTTGTTTATTATTTATTAATTTTATATCCTGCCCAGGACAGCAAACAATAGGTGGGGGGGGGGGGAGAGTAAAAATATCTTTAAAACAATTCCAATGCAGAGGCAGAATGGGAAAGATTTCAACTTTAAAAGCTTGCTGAAAAAGGAAGGTCTATAGGCACCAAAAAGACAACAAAATTGGTGCCAATCTAGTATTCTATTGCAAATATTAATATTGTGCAGCTTGAAGCAATACGATGAATAAAAACTCTTGGAATAAAAATTGTCCAGACCCAAAATATGGTTTTAAAGCTTTACTAACAGAACTTTGTTCAAACAGTCTCAAAAACAAATAATGATACATCCAAATAGTTACATAAAAGCACATGTTCAGCTTCTTACAAATATGAAATACTATTTATAATCAGAGCTGACGAACAGAGCTCTGTCTCTCCCACATCCATTAACCTGGAGGCTGTTTTCTTTCCAGGGGAGACATTAGAACACCTTTGTCTTCACCTTTGGCTTGAGAACACAGACTCCCTCAAAAGGGTGATTTGTAACTGAATAAACCTCCCATGTGATCTACAGTTAAACACCACGAGAGAGAGCAGCAGAGATACATCCTAAGTTAATGATCAACCTATTGCTCAGAAAGCTCTTCAGTGGAATTTCCCCAATGTTCCCTTTAGCAATACATATTCAGAGTCATTTTCCATTTCAATGTACAATTAAACAATTCTACTTAACATATTCAAAAGGAAGGAATTCCAAAGGGTAGGTGCTACCATGCTAAAGTCCCAATTCCTACTTTGTGTGGGATAGTTCTCCTGATAAGATGGTATCTGCAGGAGGCTTCCTGTTTCCCGTGCACCAGGAACAGAGTCTCCCAACACTGCGGGAGCGAGACAGACCAAGATAATCAGATAATGATGGGGGAATTTCATTATCTGCATTCCTCTTTGGTTGAAAGAGGAACCAGGCTCTCATTGCAGTTTGCCTGGCAGTCTGGCACTCGCTTCCCCATGGAATGTGAGGGCAGGCAAAGGCACTAGGTGCACGGAGCGCTCTGGCTGCCATGACCCCCGCCCCAACAATCCCATTCCTGGAAGCACAGGTTAAGGTAAAGGTAAAGGTACCCCTGCCCATACGGGCCAGTCTTGACAGACTCTAGGGTTGTGCGCTCATCTCACTCTAGAGGCCGGGAGCCAGCGCTGTCCGCAGACACTTCCGGGTCACGTGGCCAGCGTGACAAGCTGCATCTGGCGAGCCAGCGCAGCACACGGAACGCCGTTTACCTTCCCGCTAGTAAGCGGTCCCTATTTATCTTCTTGCACCCGGAGGTGTTTTTGAACTGCTAGGTTGGCAGGCGCTGGGACCAAACGACGGGAGCGCACCCCGCCGCGGGGATTCGAACCACCGACCATGCGATCGGCAAGTCCTAGGTGCTGAGGTTTTACCCACAGCGCCACCCGTGTCCCTGGAAGCACAGGTTACCCTGCAGGAATTCAGCAGCTTCAGATTTCCTGGATGAAGACACAGTCTGCAGGTGGGGAAACTTGCATCTCTTCAACATGCCACTGTTAAAAGTGCAGAGGGAGGAAATAAAAACCTTAAAAGAGATACTTCAACTCCAGTCTATGATTAATCAGCAACTTCAAAATGCAGTCCAGGCCTGCCCTCCCTCTTCACCACCATTCTCTTTAAATGTTCTGTTCCCTCCTTCCAGCTTTTTCCAGGCTGGTTGCAGCAGCTGAGTCCTGTCAAACAAAGGCGGGCATTTTAATTCACCAAAACAAGAGGCTTAAGGGCTTTGGGGACGTAATGAACTAAAGAGGGTCAAGTAGTGCTTGGCAGAGGCTTTCTCCACGGTGGATTGGCGGTCAGGGTTAAGGCTTGTGCCTGCTGAAGGAGAAAGGGGTCTTGAACCCAGACACCCAGAGTGACCTAGAGTTAATCCAGTCTCATGCCAATGTAATCTGAGCCATTTACATCACAGAGGAGCTTTACAGATCCTGATGTCACTGTTAAATTACCGTAACTTGTTTCATGCTGGTACCCAACAGAGTCTGATAAGAGCAAGTTGCCAGCCATAACCCATTCCTGAACATTCCATTTATTGCAATTTTGAATGCACAGAATTTGACCAGTCCAGGCTAATGGGCAAGTAAGGAACTGGGAACCAGCTCTAGTATCTTACCCTCACTGGAGTTGCATTGGTGTGTGAGGGGACATTGGTTGTGTTTGATGCATCATGATCTAATGTAATCTTTCCTGCTTATTGGAGCTGTGGCTGGCATATGGATTCAGTTCTCAAGACACGATACAGAAGTGCTTAGGCAGAATAATAGTAGACTCTTCACTTGAGCACGGTACATTAAGGCTTGAATCCATTGTGCCTAAAATATGCTCAGATTGACAATCCAGTGCATGCTTTCTGAAATGGCTATTTGTACAAGATTTGGTTGATAAAGAGATTCTTAGGAGTAAATCGCATACCCGATATATAAATTATCATATGAATGACAGAAGTCTTTTGATACCTCTTATTATGATTCGCAAAAAAAGTACAAGACCCTTATAATTCTCACAGTTCAGGCTGTATTAAGTTAATGGCATCAACTGATAATGGCCTCCCATTCTTGAAATTCTGAAAACTTTGGGCAATTAGCTTCGGGAATTTTAGTCCTTAATGTGAGTGGTCTATTTGCCATGTACCTGCCAGGGTTTGGGAGAACCATTTTAAGGCCGTCTTTAACCATAATCAAAAGCTTCCTATAAAATGGTTCCTATAACTTGCAGCTATATCTGCCTCCTGGTATTCCTGAAGGGGCAATCAACAGGTCCAGATGATATATGAAACAACATCAACCTCTTGGTTGGCTACTCTTTTTTCACTTATTGATAAATCTGGACTATTTCCCCACTTATTAATAAAACGTGACTGAAAGCAATCTTGTGTGTGTGGTACAATTTTATGATGGTATGATGGTGTCTTTATGAGTGCGTGTTTCTGTGTGCGCGCACGCATACGAGAGAGAAATGAAATTATGTGTATGTTTGCTGTGTGTGTGTGTGTGTGCTGGTGAAGAAGGTAGAGCTGGAGGAGTGAATATCCTGAGCAGGGATACAAGAGACAATGGAAGACAAGGCCCTGGAGAGCTTTGAAGGGACAAGAAGCATGTGCAGGATCCGGGAGCGGACAGGAAACTAGTGCAGGGATCTGAGGCAGGGCTTATCCTATGATTTCCTACTTTTACCTCTGTTCATTTCATCTCTTCCTATTTCTCCAGGCCCCTTTCTCTCAGATGGGGAGATGCCAGACAGCTGGAACACATCTTCAGACAGCGTAGAAGCACGAACTGCAGGCATTATTGTGCCGGTGGTCTTCTCCCTCATCTTCTTCGTGGGCACAGTAGGGAACGGCTTGGTGCTGGCTGTGCTGCTGCGCAATGGACAGGTGAAATACAACACCACCAACCTGTTCATCCTTAACCTGGCGGTGGCGGACCTGTGCTTCATTGTCTTCTGTGTCCCCTTCCAGGCCACCATCTACACGCTGGATGGGTGGCTCTTTGGTGCCTTTGCCTGCAAGGCAGTGCACTTTCTCATCTACCTCACCATGTATGCCAGCAGTTTCACCCTGGCAGCTGTCTCTGTGGACAGGTAAATACAAGCACTCCTCCTCTCTGGCATGTCTCCCTCTCTGTCCTCCAAACCAATATATTGCTTGATCAATGGAAGGATCCTACTTCTTCAATAGGAAGGAATAGAGGACAAAAAATATTGCTCCTTTGAATACCTTTCAGGGATGGGAGAGAAATTTGATCCACTTTGAATTTAAAGGTGAACCTACCAAATTTGCACTTGGGAACAGAAACACAGCTCTGTTTCCAAAGTCACACTTTTCTGAATTTTGCAGTCAGTTTTCCAGCGTACAAAGTTGCATATACTAAAGTAAAGTGTGTATTGAAATGCACACATCACCAAAAATAACATACAAAAATGCATTGTATTAGGGAAGATTGGTTATAAGAAAAGATTGTATAGAAAAATATTTATAGCAGGAGAAATTTTCACTAAAATGCTGATGAATTTTCATGATGATTTAAAATAAATGAATGAATCTTAAATTGCTGCATACTGTGGAGAGCTGAATTTGAGCCTGGAAAAATGAAAGATCCTTCCAAACCTGCTCCACATACATTTTCTCAATACCCTTCTCAAGTTTTCTCCATTCCTTTGTCCTTAGCACTAATCCCACTTAGCACCTCTTGCTGTTTCTGCATAGGGGGCACCTTAATAAATTCGTGTCTGAACATGCAATCTCCCAGTTCACTTGGATTTTTGGCATTCCTCAGGCATGTGTGTTTCTGCACTCAGTTTTCTGTATTGAAGGAGGAAGGAAACACATTGTAAACATATGAAAATCTTTGTGAATTATGGAAGCTCTTCCTAGATCTGCATAAGTTGTTGTGGGCCTCAATTTGGAGTTTTCGTTGGCAGTTTAAGCTTAAGGAGTTTTGGGAAGAGCCTAGAAAATAACTCTGTTGGCTTGTCACCAAGGTCACATCCTCACCAGGCATTTAAAGCACATAGCTTCCCTCAAAGAATCATGGGAACTGTAGTTTACCCCCTCACAGAGCTACAATTCCCAACACACTCAATAAACAACACTTCCCAGGATTCTTTGGGGGAAGTCATGTGCTTTTTCAACATATGGTATGGCTGTGACCCGAGATAATATGTGGAAATGAGAATAAGGAGGTGAGGCACTGAAGCAACCGTAGGAAAGGGAAGGTGATGTTTGTGGGGCTTCTCAAAATTTATTGTGTTCAAGAAACTAACCCCTTTACCCCACACCCACTCTGCTTCCAGGTATCTGGCTATCCGTTACCCCCTGAAATCCCGGGATCTCCGGACCTCTCGCAACGCAGCGCTTGCCATTGTAATGATCTGGACGCTGTCACTACTTTTTGCAGGGCCGTATCTCAGCTACTACCAAATAGTCCACTACCAGGAGGTGCCCATCTGTGTCCCTATTTGGGAGGACCAGCGCCGCAAGATCTTGGACATCCTCACCTTCGTATTTGGCTACGTCCTCCCAGTTTTTGTTGTCAGCCTGGCTTACGCTAGGACCATTAAGTTCTTGTGGACTGCTGTAGATCCCATTGAGAGGATCTCGGAGTCCCGTAAAGCCAAGCGCAGGGTCACCAAGATGATCATAGCAGTGGCTGTCCTCTTCTGCCTGTGCTGGCTGCCCCACCACCTAGTGATCTTGTGCTTCTGGTTTGGCTATTTCCCCTTTACCCGGGCCACCTACGCCTGCCGCTTGGCTTCCCATTGCCTGTCCTACGCCAATTCTTGCCTCAACCCAATTGTCTACGCTCTCATCTCCAAGCACTTCCGCAAGAGATTCAAGCAGGTCTTCACTTGCCTCCTCATTCAGGACAAGAACAAGAAGAAGCGAGCAGGCAACAAGGTCCACGTAGCCAATGTCAACAATGGTTTAGCCAACCATACGGCAGGCTTCTGTGGAGGGAACACTGAGGTAACCCAACTCCATGAGGAAAATATCCGATGCTACCAGGGCCTGTTGCTGAAAGAAACTGAAGGGGGGGTGCCTGAGGCGTGGTCTCATCAGTTAGAAGACACGGCCATCTTGGATCAGAGAGAGCTAATGAATGAAGAAGGTTCTGGGGCAACTGACAACAATCAGCTGGCTGTGACAACACACGAGGGACTGTAACCTACTAATTATCCATGGCAGATGATTTAAATGGAGGGCAGTGCCTCTTAGCATCACAGTCCTATCCCCATCAGCATCAGATGTGGAATGGGTTGGCTTTAGATAGCTTTTCTCAAAACACACAAACTACCCAGAATTTCTCAGTGAGAATGTCAACGTTTCCCAGCTGAGACTGCATTTTAATGGTTCCATTTACACCCTGTCCTTGGGTAATGGCTACAAAAACTATTAATGAAGCCACCAAATGGTTGTAGGAATAAGGGGTGCATAGAGATGTACCCAGCAGTGAAGGGATGGTCAGTTGGGTCAGAGAATTTATTAATGTCTCTTGGCAAGAGTGGATGGCCCCAGACTAGCTAATGGCGATGGCGGTAAAACATGAAAAAGCCATCCCTAGATCTGGAAGATCTAGCTGAATAATTACAAACTGGTGGCAAACAACCTCTTTCTCGGCAAAGTTCTTCAGCAGTTAGTTGCTGACCAGATCCAGGCATGCTTAGATGAGACTGCTTTTCTGGATCCAATTCAGTCAGGTTTCAGGCACTGAAACAACACTGGGCACCTTGTATGATTATCTTTATCAGGAGAGAGATGGGAGAAGTGTGATGCTGTTGTTCCCCTTGAACTCTGGTTTGCTTTTTGATACCATTGAGCATGGTATCCTTCTGGACCTTCTGTCAGAATGGAAAGTGGGTGTCACTGTTTTGTGGCGGTTCCTCTCCTGTTTGGGTGGTCCACTTCAAAAAGTGATGCTTAGAATTATCGTTCAGTTCTGTGGAGCCTTCATTGTGGGCTCTCACAGGGATTCATCATATCCCCCCATGGATTTACTGAATCAGTGCCTGACTGCAGTAAACAACTGGATGAGGGAAAACAACTGAAACTCAATCCAGCTAAAACAAAATAACCCCCCCCCTTCCAGTAGCACCTTAGAGACCAACTAAGTTTGTTATTGGTATGAGCCTTCGTGGACTTTTTGGAGTGGACTACCCAAACTGGAGGGGAACTGCCGCAAAACAGTGACACCCACTTTGCTGGAAGGATTTTTTATCATTATTTTGTTTCGACTCTGGCAGACCAACATGGCTACCTACCTGTAACTCAACCAGCTAAGTCAAAGATACTGCTACTAGGTGGTTCCTTGGTCCAGGTAGGTGATGTGCAACTGGATCTCCCCACTGTATAATCAGATGCACAGATTGGGGATACTCCTTGTTCCATTGCTGTGACCGGAGATGCAAATGGCATAGAATGCCTTCTTTCAGCTCTACCTGTTGGCCCAGCTATGACCTATCTGGATTGGGATAACCTGGTGTCAACAGGCTATGTCCTAGAATGCTTATGCTTGGATTACGGCAATGCATTGTATGTGGAGCTGCCTTTGACAATGGTTTGGGGAAACTGCAGCTGGGGAAAAATTCAGCAGCCGGTTTATTGGTGGAGATCAGGTGCTTCGAACATGTAACACCAATTCTGGCTTGATTACAGAGGCTACCAATGTGTTTCTTGGTCCAATTCAAAGTGCTGATTCTGACTTGTAAAGCCTTATACAGATTGGGATCCCATTTTCTACAAGACCCCTCTTCCCATACGAGCCTGACTGGAGCCTGAGGTCATCATCAGAGGCCTTATTCTGTGTTGTAAAGTGGTAAGAACAGGTCTTCTCAGTACTGGCTCCCACGTCTGTGAGGTGCTTTCCCCAGAGAGGCTTGCCTGGCATCAACACCAATGTATTTTCATTGCCAGATGAAGCTGTCTTTCTTCTCCTGGGCATTATTAATTTCTGCAGCAGTTGATGGTATTTTAGCTAGTTAATTCTTTGGTGATCAGCCTTATATTGGGGAGCATGGAGTGGGGGAGGGATTTGTTATTTTGGGGTGGTTGTTGTTGTTGAGGAACATCAACACTTTTTTGATGTTGCTACAAGTATTATAACTGGTTTTAAACATTTTTGTACCGTGTGCTGCTATTTTTGTAAGTTGCTTTTGAGATGTTCTGTGGAAAGTGACTGATAAATTCAATAAATAATGATAATAAAAACAAAAATACCTGGAAAGAGAAGTGGCTGTTGGGGTTTTTGTTTGTTTGACCAGCCCCTTTCTGCACTGATACATATACATCCTGTGGATTGCTGCTTCCTCTTCACCCCACCACCTCTGTCTTCAGACATGTCTGCTTTGTTTCCTCCCCTCCCCACAAGAGACCACATGTCTATTGAACCAAACATTTGTTCAGTGCTTTTATTTTATATTTTTAAAGGCACTCTGCACTGTTTTTAAACACCAGGTTTGTGCTGTTCTGAGAAGTGAGGAAGCTGGCTTTCAGAGTGACACGGGGGATCGCTGATAGCACAAATCTTGCTGCTGCTGAAAGCCAGAACACAGACCCACAAAAAAATGCCATTGCGTGCATCCCTCAGTCCCTTACAGGTACAGTGGTACCTCGCGAGACGAATGCCTCGCAAGACGAAAAACTCGCAAGACGAAAGAGTTTTTCGTTTTTTGAGTTGCTTCGCAAGACGAATTTCCCTATGGGCTTGCTTCGCAAGACGAAAACGTCTTGCAAGTTTGTTTCCTTTTTCTTAAAACCGTTAATACCCAGGGTGCATTGCTTGAAACCATGCTTCGCAAGACGAAAAATTCGCAAGACAAAAAAACTCGCAGAACGAATTAATTTCGTCTTGTGAGGCACCACTGTATATGCCTACTATGGGCTCCATATGCCCTTTTTTGTGCATTTGTGATTATTTGTGCTCATGACAGAATCAAGGTGGTTATATGCGATCCCGCTGCCTGGCTGTTTACGCTTGCAAAAGTTTTGAGGCGGGCACACTGCTTAATTTCCAAATGATTTGTGTCCCATAGTTTCCTGCTGAAATCCTGTAACTTTTCATACTGCAAACGTTCTGGGTTTGTGTGTCCTGCTTTTGCAGCACTATAGTGTAAGAATGTCAGATTCGCAAGAATGCAATAACATGGGGAAAGCATCACCGAAGAACTATGAAAGCAGAATGATGGATGGATGGTCCAGTATATATATTATTTTATTTTATTTTTTTAATAATATTTTTTATTGCTTTTTTCCAAGGTCAGATACATCATCAATGATTCAACAAAAGCGACTTTACAAAGAAGAAAAAAGAAGATTATAAAAGAAAAAAGTTCACATTTTACAAACAATTTTTCATGATCCACTGGACTTCCCCACATCCTCCACCCCCTGCATCCTTTACAATAAAGAAAAATAACAGCAAATTGATACCTTGTTTCATACGTTTTTGTACATTCATCTAATTATATTTTAGATTTAGGGTACTTGTCATTAACTCCCTTTTCCATCGATCCTAAAAATAAAAACATTACTCTAAACTTTAGTCATTTCACAGTCATAACTTAGTTTCCACCATAATCAAATTTAATTGCTGAAGCTTGTTGTCTCCAAACTTAGCAAATTCTCAACATTCATATAACTTATAATATTTTTGTAAATAGTCCTTAAATTTTTTCCAGTCCTCTTCCACTGCCTCTTCTCCCAGGTCTCGGATTCTGCCAGTCATTTCGGCCAATTCCATGTAGTCCATCAGTTGCGTATGCCACTCTTCCAGCGTGGGTAGCTCCTGTGCCTTCCAATATTTAGCTAAAAGAATTCTTGCTGCTGTAGTTGCATATAAAAAGAAGGTTCTGTCCTTCTTTAACACTCTCTGGCCCACAATGCCCAGGAGGAAGGCCTCTGGTTTCTTGTGAAAGGTATACTTAAATACCTTTTTCAACTCATTATAAATCATTTCCCAGAAGGCCTTCACCCTCGGGCATGTCCACCAGAGGTGAAAGAATGTTCCTTCAGCCTCCTTACACTTCCAACACTTATTATCAGACAGATGATATATCTTTGCAAGTTTGACTGGGGTCATGTACCACCTGTATATCATTTTCATAATGTTTTCTTTCAAGGCACTACATGCCATGAATTTCATACCGGTGTTCCATAACCTTTCCCAGTCTTCAAACATAATGTTGTACCCAATATCTTGAGCCCATTTTATCATGGCTGATTTAACTATCTCGTCTTGAGTGTTCCATTTAAGCAGCAAGTTATACATTCTTGAAAGCACTTTCGTCTTAGGTTCAAGTAGTTCTGTCTCTAATTTCGATTTTTCCACCTGGAAACCAATTCTTTTATCTTTTTAAAAAGTCTCTTGAATTTGGGCATAGTGTAACCAGTCTCGCACCTTATCTTTTATTTTTTCTAAACTCTGCAACCTCCAGTTGTCTCCAACTTTTTCTATTATCTCACAGTATTTTGCCCAGCCACCCTCCATATTAAGTAGTTTTGAGGCCTTTGCCTCCATCGGTGATAGCCACCTCGGCGTCTTGTTTTCAAGTAAGTCCTTATATTTAGTCCAGACAATAAACAAAGCTTTCCTGACAATATGGTTCTTGAACAATTTATGAACCTTTACCTTGTCGTACCACAAGTATGCGTGCCATCCAAAAGCATTGTTAAACCCTTCCAGATCTAGGACATCAGTGTTTTCTAATAGAAACCAATCCTTCATCCAGCAGAAGGATGCAGCCTCATAATATAACCTTAAGTCCGGCAGGGCAAATCCCCCTCTTTCTTTTGCATCTGTTAATATTTTAAGTTTTATCCGGGGCTTTTTGCCCTGCCAGACAAACTTCGTGATGTCCTTCTGCCACTTTCCAAAACATTCCACTCTGTCCACGATCTGCAGGGTTTGAAACAAAAATAACATCTTTGGCAGTACATTCATCTTTACAGCTGCGATTCTTCCCAACAAGGAGAGTTTTAATCTTGACCAAATTTCTAAATCCTTTTTAATTTCTGACCAACATTTTTCATAGTTGTCTTTAAATAAATTCAAATTTTTACCAGACAAATTGACCCCCAGGTACTTCACTTTTTTAACCACATTTAACTCCGTTTCCTTCTGGAACCCATCTATTTCTGAAGGTGTCAAATTTTTTGCCAAAACCTTAGTTTTTTGTTTATTCAGCTTGAATCCCGCCACCCGACCAAACTCGTAAATTAGTTCTAAAACTCTTTTTGTACTAGGCTCTGGCTCCTGTAGTGTTAAAACCAAGTCATCTGCAAAAGCTTTCAGTTTATATTGTTTTCTTCCGACCTGTATTCCTTCCACCAACTGATCCTTCCTGATCAAATTCAGCAGCACCTCCAGGACAGAGATAAATAACAGAGGTGATAAGGGGCACCCCTGTCGTGTCCCTTTTTCAATTTTGAACTCTTCTGTCACCACATTGTTCACTATCAGTTTAGCCTTTTGCTCTGAATAGATTGCTTCTATGCCATTTTGGAACGCCCTTCCCACTCCCATCCCTTCCAAGTTTCTCTTCATAAATTTCCAAGATATATTGTCAAAGGCCTTCTCAGCATCTATAAAAATTAAGACTGCTTTCGTGTTCATATTTGTCTGCAATAACTCCAAAACATCAATAATATTCCTGGTGTTGTCAGACAAATGTCTACCAGGGAGAAAGCCTGCTTGGTCTTTATGAATTACTTCATTTAAAACTTTTTTAAATCTGCTTGCCATAATGTCAGCAAAAATTTTGTAATCCACGTTCAAGAGTGAGATGGGACGGTAGTTCTTGAGTTGAGTCTTTTCAGATTCCAATTTTGGTATCAAGGTGATGAAAGCTTCTTTCCACGATTCTGGTGCCCCCTTCCCCTCCATAATTTGATTACATACCTCCATTAATGGCTGGATCAAATGGTCCTTTAATACCTTATAGTACTTGGAGGTAAGTCCATCTGGGCCTGGGGATTTGCCTAATTGCATGTTCTGGATGGCACTTTCAATTTCCTGTTGTGTTATTCTGTAGTTCAGCGTTGTTTGTTTATCTTGAGGTAATTTTTGCAATCCATTACTTTTTATAAATTGGTTTATCTCAGTCTCTGCCTGTGGTCCTTGGGTAAACAGTTTTTTAAAATATCTCTGGAAACACTTTCTAATTTCTTCTGGTTTCTGAATACTTTCTCCTTCAACCTCCAGATTGGTGATAAAATTCATTTTTTGTCTCTTTTTCAACTGCCATGCTAATAATTTTCCACATTTATTTGCTGATTCAAACGATCTTTGTCTCATTTGTTTAATTTTCCATTCAACCTCCTGATTTATCAATTTCGCATATTGTGCTTGGTGAAATTTAATTTCTCTTAACACTTCCTTTGACTTTGGATTAAGTCTGAGTCTCTTTTCACCATCTCTTATCTTCTCTAGTATCTTGTCTTTTTCCCCGTTCCAGAGTTTTTTCTTAATAGAATTCTGTTGAATCAGAAACCCTCTCATAACTGCTTTACTCGCGTCCCAGATTGTTTTTTTTCCCACCGAAGTGTTCAAATTTATTTCAAAGTAATCCTTCAACGTTTTTTGAGCCTTCTTCACAATCTCCTGGTCTCTAAACAACGTGTCATTCATTCTCCATCTAAAGGATCCAGCAGGTGTAAGTCTCAAATCCATTTTCAAGGCGTTATGGTCGGAGCAAGTTTTGGGGCAGATCTCTATTTTTTTAGTCTTAGGTGCCAGTCCTCTAGTTATCCAGATTTGGTCGATTCTTGTCCATGAAAGGTGGGCCTCAGAAAAGAATGTCCCTTCTTTACCTAGTGGGTTTTTTGTCCTCCAAATGTCAGTCAAGTCCATGTTGTCTGTTAGTTCAAAGAAAGTTTTAGGTAGTCTGCCATCTTTAGTCAAATTTTGGTTTTGTGACTTGTCCATGTAGGTGGAGACCACCCCATTCATGTCTCCCATCAAAATGATGTTAGTATAGTCAATATGATCCAACATTATCTCATGCAGCTTTTTGTAAAATTCCGATTTCCCCTCATTTGGTGCAT